ATTTTTTGAAGAGCCCACTTTTTCAATCCAAACGAAGATTAGCGGAGAGGAATTGGCATAACTTTCCCTTTTCTCCTTCCTACTAATTGACTTCATGAAAAGATTAGGTTATCGAGAAAATGGGCCTTCTCATTTTTGTCTTGATTCCAATTCATGAAAAGAATGACTTGATGGGGGGTTCTATAGATGTCATTCTTGAAAAGGGCCATTATTATATATAAAAAGGCTTGTTGTCAGCATCCTTGTAGGCCACCAAGTCCTACCACTCAAGATTTGCATTATTCCACTTGCACTTTCGGCAGCAATTATTTTTCTTATCAGTTTCTTGATTCAACATCAACTCATCGATTCTTGAAACAATTTTGCGAAAGTTGTCGATGTTTTCCTAATGTTCTTGTCTACCTCTTACCTACTATTTCTCTATCATTTTTTAGAGAATTGATTTTATGCAGCTCTAATTTTATTTGACTTTGTGGCAAAAACAAGAACGTCTTCTTTCTATCATAGAACTGCAAGAATCGAAGCCATCTGAGTTGTAATCACGATGACCAACGAAGAATTTAGCTTTTGTTACTAGACACAAAGGGCTAGCATTATCCACAAGTTTAAAATGTTCCAAAAGAAAGGTAAACAATTAGACTTAAAAATGAACACATAATTATATGAATAAGTTACCAAAAAAAGAAAAAGTTAAACGGAACATTCTAGCAACGAGAAAGGCAGGTGCTAACCAATGTTATAAAATTCGGACCGGACCGGCTGGTTCAACTGAAAACCGGTCAGGCCTCTAATCCGATTTCTAATCCTTTGCCGGATTGAGTCAAAACCGAGCGAACAAGGTAAATAAATAATTTAGTAACTCTTTTCAATGTTTTCCAAATAAAACTAAAGATTGCCATGAAACAGAAGTGAACTTCTATACTTCACCTTTCTATCAGAAACGACAGTAGACAACTCCGTAACTTAAATTAATGCACTAATTAATGAAAGGTTCTTAACGTTCCCTACCATCTAATTATTACATTGTCCCAAGTCGGATTGCGAAAGTCAATTTCAAATGGAGATAGAAATGGATGTAGGTCATCTGTCTTGACTACTACTCTTTTGGTGTTTCAATATATCTCTACTATTGATTAATGTAATTAAAGTTGTTATCAATGGTTGAGATTTGTTAAAACATTAAAAGGAAGACCGTGCGGGATAGAGGATCTTCATCTATGAAAAATAAGATCTGGAGTTTCGAATATAGAAAAACTCATAGTTTAACATCAATATGTTGGTGATTTAAACTGATCATGACTGAAAGAACAATATTGCTCTAATTCCAGATTTCCACACAAGATAGGATCAGAAAATGTATCAAGTGAAGAAAAGCTTAGAGAAGAAGGGGCCTGGAATTATAAAATCAATACCTTGAAATCTGGATATATTCCTGATAGGCTTCAGCCCAATTGGGTTGTACTGGCCAGGCCATAAATCCATAGATATTGCTTGGGCTCCATCTGAGACTTCAATTCAAGCAATTGCATGTCAACCAAATCCCACACCCCCTAATCAATCCACTTCCTTGAGATGCCAATAATAACGAGAACAATAATAATAATAAATGGAAGAAAGAAAACATTCCTTTGTCTGATGTTCTTGTGAACATGTGCATATGAGACAACCAACAATGGTCCAGCCAGTGTGAACTTGTTCTCAGACACCCATGTTGAGCTCCTTCTGAATGAGAATGTTGAACTCTTCTCACCATTGTAGTAGTGGATAAGCAAGCATAAGAATAGCACCTCTAATGCCCATTGAGTTGGCGCTGGATCATGGTTTTAGATTTAGATTGATGATCTAGGGTCACATATTTAAAGGGTCCCTCTCCCCAAATTCCTTGGTTCAAGGTTCATTTATTGCTTTCCACTTTGTCCAAGATACGTTTAATGTAGACTTTCTTGCCATATAATTATCTAAAGTATTAACTCACAAAATGCTTGAAGTGGTGTTACAGTTCAATTTCAACATCCTTTTGCTTTATTCTATGATATAGAACTTGTGAGGTTTTCACCCATGTAACTTCTTTTACTCTATCACCCACCCTGGGATTGAAATAGTGGCAATGATGTTTTCATACTTTATGCTCAGGAACCGATGGTTGTGCATTCGATTCCTACCATAATGAACTCAGATTTAAGAGGGGAGGCATAACAATGGGTTGGTATGCTAGTTCTCCTCTAATTAGCCGGCTAGATATGGCCATGTCTTGTGCAATAAAATAAATGCATATCACCTAACATTCATAGTTTATCGGTTTGCACGTGAGAAGGGATGATAAAGTCCATCTCTCCGGAACGAGATCAATGTAGGTGTAAGTATTCATGTATACTCACATCACCTGCCATTTTTATTTCCTTTTAACCCTCTGACCATTGCTTCTCGGAAACTTCATCAAGAACAAGAGAGCCAATTATCTAGTTTTCCCTTTTATTTTCATTTATATTTTAGCTTAATGTTCTATTTCTTGATGTAAATTCTTTCTTTCTATCTACTCACCCTCAATCATGTTTATCTCAACGGTTCCAATGGAGTTGGGACCCATTAAAGAGTACTAGAAATGCCAGGTGTCTGGCATTAACATAGCATAGTTAGGTCAATCATTATCTTTAATTTTTTTTGCACACTTTATAATTGCATTATCCCTTGCCCACCTACTCAAGCAAATAAGAGACGCACAAAATAAACTACTCTCCCGCCTCCCAAAATCCCATTTCACATCAGCAGCCAGCGAACAAGAATTCATTGTTCAATAATGCAAATGATTATGATCAGAAACCCCAATCTTGATCAAACCCCTTTTGACTTTTTTTTGGTGCTTTTAAGGATTGGTCAAGCAATGTCCTTTTCTTCAAGAGCCATTGAGGGTGTTGGTAAGGGGGGGTGGTATGGAGTCTTCCCTTCGTCGTCTTCCCAAAACACTTACCGGTGTAGATTTTAGTATTGCCAAATGGCCAAAATACACGAACAAACTCGGATAAAAAATGTTATAAAAATTAATAGCTGCACATCAAGCTGGCTTTCTCTTAATCCAATCATATACTTCCAAGCAAAGATGAATGACTCTCCTCCATTCATTAAACAGTATTTCGTTTTTTGATCTTTCAAGCCACTTCAGTTGGTCCACATCAGGTATGAATCATCAATACCTCATTTACTTAGTTCAAACCCTTGTTTCCTCAGTTGCTTCCATTGAGTAAAAAAATGGCGGCAGCGGTTCAAGGAGGATTTAGCGCTTAAGCAATCAAGAGAAAATTTCTGTCGCGAGGGACACGAGTTTTATCACTGACAATACTAAGTTAGATGCCGGCAATGACAGCATATGAAGGCTTTGAAAAGAAATTATGACTTTTGCAGGTCTGATTAAACGAGATGAGCGAGAGCTTCATTAAGCATTCAAACTATTAAATAGAAAACAACATATTCAATTACTTCAAAAGTTTAGTTAATGAAGAATGATACAATGTGTATTTTTATATCGAATTACTAAATTCTCCCGTGTCGACTAAGGAAACGACGAAAATCTTGATACGTGCATGCGGATGGACTCCATCATTAAAACTTATGTTAGGAAGTTAAAATTGTAATGAATTGAAAATAACACCTAATTTACTGAAAATTATCTAGTTTTCGGATTTTTATTTGGTACACTCGGAGTGCAAAACATCTATGCCACAAGCCGAATTAAGATATCGACAACTACATAGCTTGCCGTTGTAGCAATTTTATTCTTTTCATTAACAGATAATTAATCTTTCCATTTAAAGACTACGCATGATAAATTAGAAATTTAGTGTGTATGATGTCTTTGATGAAAAAAAATCTTGTTTTACCCTATCGAAACTCAAGTAACATGTTGGAATTTGAAAATACGGAATTAAACTAAAAAGTTAAAAACAAATGAGGCATTTCGATAAACAAAAGAATTCACAAACAGAATTAACATTAGAAGTCAAGTGCAATTTCATTATTAGCATTTATATTTATAACATCAAGGAATGTACACTTCCTTCACAAGATTGCTTGCATAAGAAAAATTATTTCTCCAGTAGTACACATAATAAGTCTCCCTTAAGCATTTACATTTGAATAATAGACGGAAAAATTGTCTAATCAGTCTTAATCCTATTGTATGTATGCCAATTCAGTTCTAAACTTTCCAATTAACCTTTGCGCGAAATTCCAGTGTAATTCTTGCGGTCAATTTTGTATGTATGAACGCTGACACGGCGGTAGGCCATGTAGAGCGGTCGGTAATGACAAGTCTGCCATATACGCGATTCTCATCGAAAATTGATCAGAAGGATTGCACTGAAATTTCGTGTAAAGATTTAGGAATAAATTGGCAAAATTGAAAAGTCCATAACTGATGGTATCCGTACATTAAATTTAAGATCAATTGGGAAATTTTTCCAATAATAGCCACTCAATATATAAAATCCATGGTTGAATCTAACTTTAGATGTATAGGTCTATTTGTGAACACAGTTAAAGATTTGGAGTGATACCAACCCCATGTCACAATCATCATTAAACACTGACAAAGATTTCTACCCTATGAGATGAGATAGAAATGCAGGATGATTTTAACTGATTCCCATACCTTGTTTTGGCTTCGGTTGGCCATGCTTGGGTTCTTGATGCAATTCAAAGGTTCCTCTTCTCTCTCAACATATGGCAGCAACAGGAACAACCACCACACTCCCACAGCATTCCTTCTGGAAATACTACTAACACCCACATGTTCATGTCAAACTATGAGTGGTCCAAAATGAAATGAGGATAAAAAAAGAAAAAACCCAACACGAAATGAAATCTGCAAATAAATCATTGTCATTAAACCATGGAAAATCCAACATTTGGGCAAGGAGGTTTCTTTGTAGATAAGTTTGGACTTAAAGATAGGATTTTTTTGAATAGTAATCTTGAAAAGGAAAGAAAATTGAGTAACGGTTAGCATCAGGGGAGGAGGAAAACAAGCCGGCCAAGCCGGCTCTCTGAGAAGTAATTTTCGGATTTTGCTTCAAAACGAGGGCAATGACATCGCCTCCCTCTTGGTCAATTCCTAAAGTACATGCCAACTCTCTATCTTCAATCCTGAAACGCTCTTATAAAGAGTCTTCGTTGTGTTCTCTCGTTCTTGATTATTTACTAGGAAGGTGTGTACTTTGTGATACTGATTAAGCACCGAGAAAGAGATAAAGTCATCAAGAAAAGAGATGGGCTCTGAAGAACAATTTGGAGGACAAGAGCTCTCTCTTTCTCACTCTGACCCCGTTGTTTTAGAGCTCAACCGCTTGCAAAACCTCCTCAAAGGTTCTCTCTCTCTCTCTCTCTCTCTCTCTGGTTTTTCAAGAGAGTCGGTGCACTGTACTTTTGAATTCTGTTGGTTTAGTATGAATCACTGGCTCTGTTTAATCGAGACCCATCATGGGATTAAAATGTGATGTTCAACATGATGTGGAATTCTTGCTTCTAGGTAAAATTTTGGCTTTCTTTTTACATGAAATGATCCAAGGCTTAAAGTTGGTGCGGACATGGTTTGTACAGTCATGGTTCGATAACTTGGAAGTAGTGCTTTCTTTGGTTCTTAATCCTGTAGTTCAGAATGAGGTTATGTCTTCGGCAGGAGGACCCTTGCATGACTCCCTGTAATTTCCTCATTGGGTAATGATTATTCGTCTTGAAGGAGTCATACGGGACACTCCTGTCAATAAATGATGCTAGGACAACTGCCATGAAAAAAATGCAGATAGCTGACGTTGTTGATTGAGAAATGCTCCTGGTTTTCTGAATAAATCATTTAGTCTCTGGGGCATTTGTAATGTCAACCATGTTTCAGATAATTTACGTTGTCGATTGAGAAATGCTCCTTATTTTTTATTAGATGTTTATTGTTTCTTTGGTTCACAATATCTAGCATCCTTAATTATACATCGTCACTTTTTATGCTCAATGCAGAAAAGGATAGAGAATCGGCGAATGCTCAGAGTGAAATCAAGTCTTTAAAAGCGAATGAAGTTCTGAAGGACAAGGTTATAGAGGAGGTATGGGAATATAATGGCATTAATCACATCAATACAATAACCCATTACGTGTTAGTTCAATGTTTTTACCAGCTGCAGAGTAGGACTTTGATTATTCTTCAGTTCATGAAAATGCTCAATACATGAGCTTATATGTTCTTTCATCTCGATTATTTTGGCATGGCAGCTGAAACATATTGTTCAGAAACTGGAGGAAAAACTTGCAATCACTGAAAATTTTCTGCAGCACAAGGTGAATTGCTTCTTCAGACAACACATTAACCGCCTCTATGTCGCAAAATGGGCATAACTTTTCCAACTTCACTACTAATGCAGAATCTGGAAGTCAAGAAACTCGTGAGCGAAAAGAGGGATGCATTGGCTGCACAATATGCTGCGGAGGCGACTATTAGAAGGGTTCATGTGAACCAAAAGGACAATGATTTGCCTCCTGTCGAGTCTGTCATTGCTCCACTAGAGGCTGAGATCAAAATGCATAAGAATGAGGTATCGTATCCTTACTGAATTCAAGATAACAATGTGAAATCCTGTTGATTTCTTATCTTGAAGCACTGCTGGTGACACAATCCCCATGTTTGTTTATCAGATTGCAGCGCTGCAGGAGGACAAGAAGGCTTTAGAACGCCTCACTAAGTCGAAAGAATTAGCTCTGCTTGAGGCAGAGAAGATCTTGCGAAGCGCTTTAGAAAGAGCTTTGATTGTGGAGCAAGTTCAGAACCAGAACTACGAGCTAAAGAGACAGATTGAGATCTGCCAGGCATGATCTTATCATCCTAACAGACACAACCTAAAGGATCTCAATTTGAACAATTCGCAGCAATTCGAGTATCTGGTGATTCTTACGTAGTTTTGCTTCTAAATGTGCAGGAAGAGAACAAGATACTCGAGAAGACCAACCGCCAAAAGGTTTTAGAGGTCGAAAAGTTGAGCCAAACAATTCAAGAACTTGAGGAGGCTATTCTAGCTGGTGGTGCAGCAGCGAATTCTGTTCGTGATTATCGACGGCAGATTTCTGAACTGAATGTACATATGAAATCTTTGTAATCTAGATATCCACATTCTCATTACATTAGTTGAAGTCTAGCTGTTGAACCTATGTCCTACGTTTTCTTCCCTCAGGAAGAGAAGAGGACTCTTGAGAGGGAGCTTGCAAGAGCCAAAGTTTCAGCAAACCGAGTTGCGACTGTGGTGGCCAATGAGTGGAAAGATGACAATGACAAAGTAATGCCCATTAAGCAATGGCTTGAAGAGAGAAGGATACTGCAGGTAATTAAGTTCCTCAGTGACAGAAAACTAGAGATTCAGTAATTGTGTCATTTTTGTGTCTTTTGAATACTTCTTTTCGTTTGCTATGAAAAATTCCTATTTGTTGCTTCCTCGTGAATATGGAACTTCTTTGTGAACTGAGGGAAAATTGACTTCTATTTGTGAGATCAGAGATCCACAGCTATTTGAGCAAAATTTGAAAGCTTCATTACAAAAGGAGGATTAATGATGACAAACTTTACCTTGTTTACTAAGTGAATAGAAATGCTGGGACATGAGGCTTTGCATTCTCTTTGATGGAAATAACATATTTGGCCGTGTAGGCGGAGATGCAAAGATTAAGAGACAAGCTTGCTGTATCAGAAAGAGCAGCCAAGGCAGAAGCACAAATGAAGGTGAAGTCTAAGCTATAGCCATTTTGTATGTAGTTTGTTTCTCCTTTCGTTTTCCTTGGAAACTAATGATGATGTTCTACTATGTTGATCTCAGGAAAAATTTAAGCTGAGGCTAAAGACACTGGAAGAGGGGCTGAGGCACGGGTCAAATGTCTTGGTGAATGCAAACTTTCTTTGTGCATCACCAAAGACTGAAAAATCGAACAAAATATTTAGTTTCCTAACGAGCAATGGTGGACTCAAAAAGAGATCATCATCGCAGCCAAGGGCTTCTATCATTAGAAGCTCTCCCCTTCGGCAACCAAATATGCAGGATGAAGTGGTGAATGTTGCCAGAGAATTCAACGGCATGAATAGTCTAAGAAAGAAATTTGCTTCCGAGGAATATTTGCTGAAAAAAGGTATGTGGGTGTCTAGAAATAAGGTCATTGATAGCACAGGTAAAGAAAATGCGGAAAAGAAGACATATTCAGACGAAAGCATTGACAAGTCTGCCAATGAAAAGAAAGCAGCATCGGGGGCAAGTATGACAGACAGCAATGGTGACACTGAATTGGCAAGCAAAGGAAGTGCCAAGTTGGATAACGAAGACGTGGTCTCAGGCTTTTTATATGACAGACTTCAGAAGGAAGTCATCGGGTTAAGGAAGTTTTCTGAGGTTAAAGATAGCGTCTTGAATGCTAAGGAACAGGAAATTCAGGTAAAGTTTGAGCAATCTCTCTCCCTCTCTCATACACCCATGTGTCTGCACATGTCCACGGATGCGAATAACTGAGGTTGTCAATTTCTTTTCAGATGCTAATGAAGAAGGTGGACACATTGACAAAAGCCATTGAAGTGGAGTCTAAGAAAGTGAAGAGAGAAACAGCAAGCAGAGAAAAGGAAGCAGCGCAGATGAGAGTGGATGAGCTTAAGAACATCAAGAACCTGAAATCGACCAACAGGTAGAAGTAGAAATCCTTTTTCACTCGGCTATCGTGCTCGTAGTTTCTTGATTTACCCTGTCATTTTTCTTTTGTCCTCATTTCTTGCAGCTAATTAGGAGGAACTAAGATCATCTTACTTCAAATCCTTCGATGTCAATCTTCCACTTTTTCCCCCTATATTTAATATTTCTCTTCTCAAACGTTTGACAGGGCGATCAAGGCATGACGCGTAAAGCGAAGGAGTAGATGGAAATTGGAAACTCTGCTACACCAGCAACATCTCTTGATTTATTTTGTGTAAATATTGGTGGAAAGGAAAGAGCTTTACCATTGATTAACTAGTGCAATTTCAGTTCTGATTACTTTGGTTTGTAAAATTAGAACTGATAAATTCTAGGATTGAACTGGGAGTGTGCTTTTTTAGCGCTTGAGATTGACAAGAATGGTATTTCTTGCTCATACTATATAAATAGCGAGCCTACCTCATGAGAGATTGAACTCGATCATCTTCGAATATATACAAAGTCGAGTATTTGCTAAGCAATTCAACTTCAGCTACAAAGAAACAGAGATATATTACCAGGGTCTCTCTCTCGCATCATCTACACACTTTAACACAAAAAGTTTTAGATCTAGGCATTGCCAGCTACACTGAAACGTCCTCGAGGCGACCCGTAACTTCAACAGTTCTGGACTTCTGGTATAGTGGCTAAAGATGGTCGCCATTTCTGGCACTGTTCATCAAAGCAGAATCTGTTCAGTAACTGAACAGCAATTTCTTCAGGCACCATCTTGTCCCCATCTCGCAAGATTGACGCAAGCTCTCGCTTGGTCACCATGATCTTTACGAAGTTGCTTTTGCACTTCTTCTGATCAGATGGTTCAGTCTGCATTGAAGGGCTTTCTGGGTGCTCCGCATCCGGCACTATGTAGTATACTCCTTCAGGTTCTAGCATGGCGTTTGATAGAAATGACGACCGAGGCTGTCTTTCGCCATTGCTGGGACTGGATGTTATCTTCTTTACAGGAGTTGACGCATCAAATTCCTCCTCTCCTCCATCAAAGAGAGCATGGACATTGTCGTGGGGTCGACAAAAGAAAAGACGAATGCAATTTCCCATGATTCATTGTACTCAAGAATTGGGATTCTTGAGTATATATACAGGCATGCTTTAAGTGATTCACGTTGTAAGTAGTTAAACGTGCAAGCCATTACAGTATTATTTTATCAGTTCCTGTTTTCTATATAGCAGGGCAAAATTATATTGATCTCTAAAAATAATGATACTCGAATAGTTTATCATTATACTTTCTGGGAAGACAATTGCAGGCAATCAGAAAGATATACCTACTGGGGAAGGATCGAGTTGATGTCAAATACTAAATTACTAGGTATTTTTTTTTGGTCGGAAAATTAATTGGTATTTAAAAAGTCAATAGGACGCGAGATCGTCAACTGAATTTCCCCCTCAAGAACCTGTACAACATGTCTCCATAGATCAACCATTGTCGGCATACGAAATGAGATATATTACTGCAATCTCCTGTTTCCTAAAGTTAATGAAAATTAAGTGATACAGTAGATATACATGCATATAACAAGATTACATCATGGTTGAAGATTAAAGTATACCGGGATGTTGAGGTTCATTTCAATTAAGGAAATTAGATGAAGGATTCGGTTGATTTATCCGTCTTCTCTCTCATTTTAGGGGAAAATGCTGTTTCTCATCTCAACCCTCAACTCAGAGACCATCTAACTTCAGAGAATATCAACAGATCTGATATTTCCCAGATGGGCTAAATCATTAAAACCGTCTTAAGTCAAATTATACAAGCTGACTCACATCACTTCTTATGTTTTCTCAGCAGCGCCAATGCACATACCGCAAAGGCATTAGTTCCAGAATCGTACAGCAATCATACTGCAGCACCGGGCTGAACCATAAAAGAGAGACGCTGCCAATCCATGTCTATTGCACACCGCGACTCATACAAAGCTTGTCCAGAGTAAGCTGAGAATATATCAGGAATGCCCAAAATACAGGAGAATTAGCTGCCTAAACAGAACATCAATTCCAAGAGATTCATTGACTCTCTGCATTCAAGTTTATCTATCAATTCCCGTCTCAGATTGTATGAAAAAATTACCCCCTCAAAGACAAGGGTGAGGGAAGTCACAGGAAAGAGTACCTTTCAAGCTAAGGAGGATTGACTCTATAGTGGTTCTAATGTCCTTTTCAGCCCCTTATGCAAGCAAGATTATGAAGCTTCTAACTCAAGGGAGCTTCTGGTTTCTAACCATGACAGTGCAGCAATCTTTGTTGTCAAGAACCAGCCAACCTTATCTGGTGCCTCATGGAATGGGGCATTCAGTTCCTTCAAATGTGACTCGAAAACACTCGCTAGCCCTTTATCCGAGTACTTGTGTTTCCCATGTCCGGTGTTGATTCCTAGCAAAGGAGGAAGCTCCTCCCCAGATTGCAGTGCCTTGGACAGATCGTTAATCCAAACATGTAACGCAGTCAGAGCTGCCCCGAGGGACAAACTTTTCAAATGTAGAGACCACTGAGTTGCAGACCTGGACTGTATGTCTGTGTAAATCTCAAGCGTAAGCCCTAGGTCTAGTAGCTCACAGGCCTTCTCCAATAAATTGGCATTGACACATAGGTCGATTAAGCAATTGCAATAGGCCTTCTTTACATCAGCATTAATGGACTTAAAGAGTTCCAGTGCTTCCTCCTTAAAATTCAACTCACTCTCATGCTCTTTAATAAGTAGTTTAACCACATTTCCGAGCTTAGGATTAGCCTTCTCAATGCAGCAAACGAGCTTATCAAGATCCTCACTTGAGGTCTGCGTCATCACATTCAGGAGACACCCACAGAACCGGTCATCTGGAGTTATGGCCAACTCCAGGAGTCGATTGAATGTACTAACAACATCATCTGTGCGCTGGGCTTTTCCATAGCATTGTATAAGTGATGTCAAAACAAATAAGTTAGGCTCAAAACCTGCCTCCATCATTTGATCCAACATCCCCTCTGCCTCCGAGACCTTTCCACAACATGAATATATAGTAATCAGTGATGAAAATGTCCAACTGTCAGGCTGGCAAGTCCCGAAGCTCTTCATTTCCTCAAAAATCTCAACTGCCTCATCTATGTAACCAACATCAGCGCACATTGCCAGGAGAGTATTGTAAAGAATTATATTCAACTCCATTCCCTTCTCCTTCATCTCTCTATATATAGCTAGAGCATCTTCACTATACCGAGCTTTGCCATAGGCCCGTATAAGAGCTGCATAAGTGGCAAAACTCGGGGTAAACCCATTGTTAATCAACTCTTTGTATAAGATCTTGGCCTGCCACGGCCTCATAGCTCTGCCCATGGCATCCAACAGCGTGTTATATATAACCAAGTTTGGCTTTGCCCCAAGAGCCTTCATCTCTTCGTACACATTCAAGCACCCGTCAAAATTCTTCGTCTGCCCATATATCTTAATCAAAGTCGAGAATGTAACAACATCGACGCGCCACTTTTCAGTCCTAGCCCTGTCATAAAGGCTCAAAGCCATATTGACATTACCAGCCCGACCATATGCGTCGATCATAGCTGAATACGTAACATCGTCAGGATCGCATCCGAACTGAGGCATCTTCTCGAACCATTCAACTGCCCTCGTCGGCAGAGAACACATCCTAGCGCAGCCAATAATAGTGGAAAAAGTCACATTATCAGGCTTTACCCCTCTCTCAAGCATTTCAGCGAACAGCTTCTCTGCTCCATCCAAATCCTTGCACTTCCTAAACACCTTCAACGTCACATTATACATTATCACCGCCCTCCTTGGTCTTATCCTCTGTTGGAAGTACTTCAACGCAAGCACCGCATTCTCCGCATTAGCCATGTTATTGAGAACAACCACAGCATCCTGTTCCAATATCTTATCCCCCAAACCCCTCAAGATCCCGAAAACATCATCTTCAGTCGAACCACACGAGTTCAACGATTCGGCCATGTTCAAAACACAAGCGTACCTCGCATCATACGACTGTTGCCTGAGCTTTGAAGCTCGGGGGCTTTTGGGATTGACCCAGATGTAGCTTCTCGACGGAGAACCGATTTTCCCATCTGGGTGCTCAGAATCCGGTGATTCCGGTACTGGGTTCCGTGTTTCTTGGGAAACTGCGTCCTCCACGGGCACCTGGGTCGCCTGACAAGAGGATTTCGAGTGAAGCGAAAGGAAATCTGATTTGCGGGGGAAATTGAAGCTTCTGAGTTTGCTGTTCGGAGGGCAAGGGAGGGAGCTGCAGGGATGATGGCGGTCTTGGAGGAAGTAGGACGGCGAAGAGCAGAGATGGTACGCCATCTTCGTCGGCGTTTGCTGCTCAGAGGAAGCGGAAGAGACCTTATCGAGTGGAAATAGTTTTGTACCATTTTTCACCAGGGCAAACCTGTCAATTGGATAGAAAATATCTTCTCGAAATAGGAAAATAATTTAAATGATCCCCGAATTTTGATGAAATATGCAATATAATTTTTGAATTTGTAATTTATTCAACGTGATCCTTGAACTTTAACTTAATGTGCAATACCGCACTTGAACTTTTAATATGGTCAAACTTTTGATACATGCTTAATTTAATTCCCAAATCATATGAAATTATAGTCCAAGGATTAATGAATATGTAGTTCAAGGATTAACTTGAATATGTATAAAAAGTCTAAGGATCACATTGCAAAAAATTAAAAGTTTAGATACCACATTACACATTTGACTAAAGTTTAGGGATCATATTGAACAAATTAAAAATTCAGATATTACGTTACATGTTGACTTAAAATTCAAAAACTATTTGTGCCAATATCCATTTAAAAATTAACCCTTATTTTATTTGAAATAACGCTGTTAACGAGCATAGAAGTACTCGTTAAGTAAAAAATTCATGATAATGACATTAATAGATCAAAATATTTTGCTCATTATTCAATATTGTGTCTGATTTTTTTTTTTAATTTAACATAATCTCAAACTTTTAAAACTTGACCCGACATCGTCTTTTGTCAAATGGAAGAAAATATTACGTATAACAAGTGTGCCACGTCAGTTATGTATAAGTTCACTTACGTATGATACGTGTCCAAATGGGACCCACTTTTCATTTTCTTCTCTCTCCTCCTTACGAGAAAATATTCAGTGGTTTGTGCGCGCCACGTCACGTGCTTACGTGGCGTGCATGAACTCACGTGGATCCACTAGTAGAGCGACGTGTGGCTCTGACCTGGAATAAGAAGAAAAGATATATTTTCAGACTCTCTCCTCTCTGGCGCCCTAGAGGACTGACTCTGTCTCTCTTCTGACGCCTCTAGATAGACTGAACAAAGCAACCTTGCATTTAATGCTCTCGTTTATTGCCGCGTTCTCTCTCTCCCTCTCCCTCTCTCTCCCCTTTCACGTTTGAATGCCTATTTTCTTTTCACTTTAGAGCCTCTTCCTTCTTCCCCAGAAAACTTCCCTCTCCCTCTCTCTCCTCGTAATGAAAGCTAGATTAAGGATCAAGCTGCTGTATCAGCATGTGTTTTTTATCCGTGGGTCTATCGGCTGGTTTCACTTCAAAAATATTCTTTTGCATTGTCACGGCTGTGAAAGTCGTCCATACATGATTTATGTCCTAATGTTGTGGTGTGCATCTTTGTTCATTCGTTCAAAATGATCATGCATTGGCTTCACTTCTTGTCCTGGAGTTTGCAACAGATGAGTTGCAACATGCCAAACTTTTCTTAATGCCGGTTGCAAAAAGTAATTTTTTTGAGAGCGAGATCTTTAATCAAGAAAATGGATCCCCCACACAGCATTTCCCGATGCGATAAGCACCAAATAACATTTTGGTCCCTTCATTCAAATGTCCTTTTTCTACCCCCAATAAGGAAAGGGATCGGGAAGCTACTCAAATCAACCATTGAAGAACTTCCATTCATCATGAATAGACTCCATTCACGGCAAAGACTTGCCGAAATCTTTATACACAATGGCAGTAGTTGAAAGATGAAGTAAACATAACCATATTCGATATTATCAGTACAAATACTCGGATACTTGTGGCTCAACAAGAGTAGAGTACGAGGATGCAAAAGCTCAATCGCCCCTCCTAAAGTGCTTTACCAAGCAAGATCATAATAATAAAAAAAAGCATCTACACAAACACTAACAGTAATATCACATGGAAAACATTGCCACGCGATGGAATTTTAATACTAGGCAGTGAGCAAATCGTTCTCCAATTCCAGGTCTGAATCAGCTCCCAAATGGTGAAGTCTCGATTCTTCTAGAACAGCAAAATTCAAAGAAAACATGAGAGAGAGAAAGGTGGAAGGCTCGTATTGGCTTCCGGGATTTCTTACACAACAGCGACAAGCTCTTAACAAGGAAAAACTTGGCCAAAACCGAAACTTTCTTTGCCGGATTAAACCAAAACTGACAATTTGAAATGTCTACGAATGGATTTTTGGGTGGCCCATCCAAAGTTTGTTCTTTTTGGTGGGAGGAAGAGGAGGAGGGGAGGTGGAAGACGACCCTCCCTCGCGGCCGTTGCCGGAACCCGAGGAAGAACACGCAAATGAGAGAGAGAGAGTCCCAATGCGGAGGCGACGAGGCGGAGTCGGAGGTGGCTCGGGACCCAGCCGCTGCGACCGGCCTTCCGCTTTTCGCCGGAACCCCAAAGCTCAACGGCGGTTTCTAGAGCCCGACGAGGAGAGAGAGGGAGAGGGAAGTTTTCTGAGGAAGAAGGAAGAGGCTCTAAAGTGAAAAGAAAATAGGCATTCAAACGTGAAAGGGGAGAGAGAGGGAGAGGGAGAGAGAGAACGCGGCAATAAACGAGAGCATTAAATGCAAGGTTGCTTGTTTAGTCTATCTAGAGGCGTCAGAAGAGAGACAGAGTCAGTCCTCTAGGGCGCCAGAGAGGAGAGAGTCTGAAAATATATCTTTTCTTCTTATTCCAGGTCAGAGCCACACGTCGCTCTACTAGTGGATCCACGTGAGTTCATGCACGCCACGTAGGCACGTGACGTGGCGTGCACAAACCACTGAATATTTTCTCCCTCCTTACACTCTCTTCTTTTGCTCTTTTCTTTGGCTTCCTTTTTGCTTTGAGGCCATGGACGACAATGGCTGGCGGACGTGGATAGTAGCGTCACCGGCCAGCCATGGACAATAGTGTCACCGACCATACACTAGCCACACTCACAAGCGACACCGACACTCGTCCATGGCCGTCGTCATCATCATCCAGCCGGATTTGGTCGACATTTGGAGACTGAAATGGGCGAGGCCAGATTTGGACGAGCGACGTTGACGCTCTTCTATGGCCATCGTTGGCGTTGTTCGGCCAAATCTGGTAGGCTTGGTCGGCGCCGGGGACTCCACTGGTGGCGACGGTGGCGAGGCGCGAAGGTCGGGCTCAGAGGGAAAGGATGACGAGTTGGGTTTTTCGAGCAAGAAACACCGGAGGGAAAACCAGGAGGCGGAGGTGGCTCGAGCTGGGGGAGGTCGGTGTAGTTGGAATAGAGCCTTTTGGAAATTTTTTGAGACGTGCAGGTGGGACACCATTGTTGTTGCAAAGCAAGCTTCAGAGAGAGGCCAACCAAGGAGAGAGGTTGAAAGAAAAAACTCTGACAAGTGAGCTCATTATGGACACATGACGAATAATGAGTAGACTTATGCATGACTGACGTGGCACAATTATTATATTTAATATTTTATCTTCGTATGGTTTTTTTGATGACGTGGAGTGCCAAATAAGCATTTATGGGATGTAATTGATGAGGTGAAATGCCAACGCATTAAAAATGAGATTCTTTAGAAAAGCTCTTTTCTCCTTTTACCTTTTTTTTCCCTTTCTCCGCCATTGTTTACCTTCTTCCCTAGCAGCTTTCTTACAGAGACATCACTCTAATCGCCATCGAAGCCAGTCAGCCGGGGCCAACTCGTTGCATTGCGTGTAGCCACCATCAGAGCGTGTTAATGCCTATGCATTGCCATCATATCAGTATAAAAATATTTGTTGATCAACGGGCTCAATCTTTTAATTTTTGCAAAAGCATTTTTTCTAAAAGAGACTTCAAAACCTATTTAGAACCGGTTCAATCGAGAATTAGACTGATTGAACCATTTCCTAGGTAAAAGTAGGTTGCGGACTTGGAATCGGACACCAAACCAATCCTGGATCGATACTAGGTTCGTGGCGGTCCGCCGCTGCCAAAGAGGAGTAGGACACGAGGACGAAAGCCCCTTGACTCAGGAACCTAACTTCACATAACCTTTGCTCAGATGGATATTGCTTTAGTCGAGCGCGAGTCACCAGTACATTATGTTCAATCCCATTTTGCGAGCCAGCATCGAACTCCTCGACTTGAAGCGGTTCTTTGGAAGGCCCGTCCCCATCCAAAGGCTCGCGCTGTCTTCAAGCCCATCCTCGTACGGGGAGTTCACGGTCACGATCTCTATGTCCTTCCATCATCAACGGCCGGTACTCACATTCCACCTATCGGGAGGACATGCGTGGAGGGAAGTGGCTTGTGATCCTGATGCATTACAAAGGGCGATCCGTGGCCATAGAGGCATTCAAGCGGATAGTAACTCATGATGCCGACAGAATGTATACTGCAGAAGCCCGGCTAGAACTCGAGCACGGGTTCCTCGCGGAGGAGTCCGACGGCTGCCCATATCTTGTGGGTGTCGTGGCTCGTTGCTGGTGGCTTGGACAATTCTTCGTGGTGAATTGGGTCAATTCCTCAAAAGAATCCGAGTCTTCGAGGTGGATCTGGAGAGGGGGACCCAGACAGAGGTGAAGAGCTTGGGGATGGCGTTCAACTCTCTTGAACTGTTTATTCTTAACCGTTAATTCAGTTATAAATTTATGAACTTTTTAATTTGTTCTTCTAAACCTAACCCAAGAAATTATCTCAAATTGTAATTGAATGCGATGCCTCATACTGGTTTTTGACAAAAGATTGCAACCTGGTTTCTGAAGTTTCTTCATATTGATTCTTTTTAATGATAGATTCGAATTCAAAACCTAGTACGTGGTTTTTGCTTTATCATTTCAGTGTCGACATCGCAATTGCTTCAAGTCCTCAACATACTGATGGTAATACATTAAAGTTTGGATCGCGCATTGCTCGTGGCTTGGCGATATTAATGACAACAATCGTACCCATCAATAGATTAGTCTTAGTTTGGATATATATAGATGTAGTTTGTTCTTCCTTGTTCCTATTTCAAAAGACAACCTTATGGAATTGAGGGTGATATGCATCAACAATGACTAGAAGTTTATTTGCAGAAGCCAGCGATAACATGCATGACGGCAGCACATAGAAGGGTCAATACAAATTGCTTGGAGGAATGAAGTAAGGATACATCTGCTTTATAACACATCCATGGCGCAATTCTTCGCATTATACGACTGCGATCTTCACTTCATCGATCTTTAGACAAAGCCGTCAGGTTTTTTTATGCTCAATGGATGTCTTATGCAACTGTTGAAGGGTCGATCGTTTCAAAAGTGAGAGGGAATCTTGATCTTGAGCAAGACAATTTTGACTTGATCAAGTCTTTCATTATTGTCTTTCTGGTGGAGGGACGATGGAAGGAGGCAGGACCACAGCCACATACTCATCTTTATTTGGAGATGTTCAGCAAAAATTTGTGAAAATGTTAATGTAGCTTGTCCGAAAGTTGATCAAAATCTTAAATTTATAGATGAAGGGAGATCATATATGTATAAAGAGAATATAAATCTCAAAAATAAGCGTTTTGAGGCATTTTAGCATAGCTTAACTTATGGGGTGAATCATAGAACGGGAATGACACTAAGCAATTTTACTTGATTGATACACACTCAATATGCATACATGACCAGACTGACTTTTCACAACGCTTCAACGGTCGATAAAACCTCAACTACATAAATGAGCGGTTGATATTTATTAGGGCATTGAAGGGAGTATCGTGCGAGATAAAAGATCCACGTCATGATTTGACAGATATCGTGAAAATCCCAAACCATGGAAATGAAAACCCCGTTTCAACTAATATCACCGAACTCTCTTTACATTTGCAGGCAGGATTTCTGGCACTGGGGATAGCCGGCATCGCTGCAAACCGGTGGCCATCCATGACCACAACCATAAGGCGTCCTTGATGAACAGGCGTTTCCCTCATTGCATCGGTTGCTACACCCCAGGTAACTGGGTCTCCGGCATCCGCACTCGTGGGCCAGCCTCCCACACCCGTCATGGCACATCGGTGGCCTCCCGTAGTGACAGTTGCATGGACAGAACCCATCGCAACCCCGATTATGACATGGGATACAAACATTCGCCCCGGCCATCACATACACCGGCGGGTAGGTTGGCACCGGTGGAGCAGGATTTGGTGGTTTAGTTGGAGGGGTCTTCTCCTTTTCTTTCTTATCTTCTTTACCATTTTTCTTACCTCCTTTCTTTTTAGTGTCATCTTTCGGTTTCTGTTCAGGTAAAATATCGACGCCTTGAACGAAACATCTTCCCTTACACAATATCTTCTGTCGGACATTCTCGGGACTGCCATCCACCACTGTGATTGTTACTGTGTTTTTTGCCACCTCGTAGTTTTGGTCTTGGACTTCTGTGTTCACAAAGTTTTAATAAGTCCATACGTTACGAACACTTCATGTTATTCATAAAAAATAGTAAGTAAAGATGTACTGCACAATAGAACTGATGCATATGCCTTTGAGAGAGAAGAGAGGAAAGGAAAAGAACTAAGAAATCATGAACACAGCAGACCTAGAAATCATTTTGATTGGATAACATTTTTTCGAATTTCTTCAAGAAGTTGAGGAATAATAGGACGGAATAATTTCTTTCGTCTTCTCACAATCACTGAAAATAACAAAGATCCTCAATAGAAGTTTCATCAATATGATTAGACCAAACGATAAGTATGTTATGTCAAAAAAATCGATAAGTATGCATTTTGAATAATTGATTATGGCAAAGGCTAGGGACTCACGAGGGATCCCACACAGAATTTTCTTGATCTTCTTGAAACATCGATGACACTGAAGATCCACTTTGATCGCCATCTTTGTCGGCTGTAGTATTGCAAGCAAGCATAACAAAGTTAGAGAGTCCTATCTAAAAGCTTAAGCTTATAAGTAAAAAGAGATCACATGTATATAAAGAGTATATAAACCTGTGGACAGGCGACGTGCAATATTTTAGCACTCCCTCTCTCGTACAGATCGAATTAGGAACGGTACATAAGATTTAACAAATATGGGGCTGCACATGCGAAATAAATTGGGACTGAACCTGGTTCCGATACCATGTTACAAAGTTAAACCCAAAAACTTAAGTTTATAAGTGGAGAAAGATCATGTGCATATAAAGATCATAACAAGTGAAACTCATAACGAAATTAGTTAAACTCATAAGAAGTCATGATCATAAGCTAGTGATAAGAGTGAGGCTCGCAGCCGGCGACATTCCACATAATTGCATTAGCTATAATAGAAGATCATGAAGATCTCTCTCTCGTCCTCTCGACACTTAGAGGAATGACTGATGAAGAGAAATGCATAATATGTTCTTCCAAGCAAAGCAGAGAGAATTGAATAGAAGAAAGTAAGAAGATCAATGAAGTAGAGAGGCAAAGCTAAAGTGAAGGCGGATTTTGCACCTTCCCTGCCATATTTCTTGAGCTGACAAGACGGATTGCTGTCTGAACAAGTTCAACTCTTCTAAATAGTGGAACGTGAAGGTAGGTATGGTAGTTAAATAGAGAATAAAAACAAAGAACTTGAAGGTTCGTAGTCTTATCTCCTGTTGAATATCAGAAAAAGCAAACGTTGAATTCATGATCCACAGTATATTATCACCTACATTGTTGGTGGCAAAGATGGGTTAGAAACAAATTTTTGCACTTTTTCTGCCTTCCGCAATAGAAAAGACTGGAAAATGACATCACAAGTGCCATATTCGTAGGATGCTCATTTGCGTGCTATAATTTTTTTTTCCGTTCACATGATTGCCATATAAATGTTTTAGTTGATCACTCGAGTGCCGTGACTTTTTAAATTGTTTATCACAAGTGCTATGCCATGTCAAATTTTCGACACTCGGGTGAATATTTTTTAAAAGTTACGGCATTCAAGTGATTGAAAAAAAATTATGCAACTCAAGTGAACATCGTATGAAAGGTATATTACTTGTGGTGTCCTTTTCCCATCAAAAGACTCGTGATAAAATGATATAGCGAAGATTACAATCATACTTGAGTCACTCAAATACTCTTGGTGTTTCCTAACTCTTAATTACAACCAATAACTTACATAGTGTTTAGCCCTCACAATTTTTTGGGAAATAATCTCTTAATCTTGCCAAAAAAATTCATAAATTTTACCCCAAAATTTGTTGCCTTTAAACATATACTAGTTCTTTCATTAATACAATTCACGTTCAGCCCTTAAACTCATGGAAATTCTCCAAGAATTCCAATGACAGCCACCAAGCCGGAGATCTATTCTGCACATCAACGGCATAAATACAAAGACCATCTCTTGGAGAATATTTATATTAAACTTCAGAAAAGAACGTTTGATGAGCCATCTCCAACGTGAATTAGGAAATTGTGTTTTCCAACTGACTTCACATGGTTTAACACAAGTCCAAGTTAGATTTTCCTTTTTCGACCGTGATGTAAACACACTTCCATTCAGGTTGGATATTGTTCACGAGTTCAAACACGAGATGTAAGTTTAACAAATCTCCACCTCTTGAGCCAAATAACAATTGCTTCGCTGGAACTTGAAGTCATCACTTCGACTCTTGCACGGCCCCTTACGGGCTCAACAAATCTTCTCAAACTTAGTAGCTATAAAATTCATTGGCACTACAGGCTCTACCTCATTATACGAAACATTTGTGCTGATTATTACGCTAGCACTTGATATGTCGGCAGTTTCTGGTTGCAACTCCATATAATGCTAAATACTGTCCATATCCGTATAAATGTTGCCATAACCACTCTTATCCAAATGTATCAGAGACTTGCCAAATATAACTTTTTGCTGAAAAAGTGAATTTAATTTCGGACACTACAATGAATAGTTCCGCTCACCTTGTGCATAGCCTAGGAATATGCACCTTGTTGCCCTCCCATCAAACTTACCATAATATGGGCAATAAATATTCTAAAAACAAAAATGTTAGCAAAGTTATGTGACCACACTTCCTCGGGAGTCGAACATTCAACCACAATCGATGGGATCTATTCACCAGGTAGCTTATGGTACTAAGAGCATCCGTCAGGAATTTCCTAACTAGATCAATGTGAGAGCATTTTATGGATCGTCTTTAATAACATTTTACTTATCACAATTCATTGATACTAGTGTTGTGTCTTACTATGCCTTCCTCCTTCTAGAATTTGTTAAACAACTCAAAGTAGAACTCCATACTATTGTCGGTAAGCACATGCTTGATCTTATTACCAATCTCCATTTTAATCAAAGCACTCAATTGTCTAATTCTAATAACAACATCAAACTTGTAACTCAGCACAAGCACCCATGTGCCCTTTGAGTAGTCATCCACAAGTGTTAGCATTAATTAGGCGCTCTTTATTGAACAAAACCGCGACAGCCTGTGAACATTCAAATGAACCAACTTTGCAATCTTCATGATTTCTCCAACAATCACACTGAACTCCACTTTCCCTCGTTTGACAGCACCTACATAAATTCAATTTCTTAGCCACATAACTGCACACAAAATTTCTTTAAGTTAGACCCTTTAGGCTTCTCTCACCATTGTACCCCAAACGTAGGTTCCATATGTTAGACTCTCAAATGGATGCATTCAAGTCTTCATGGCGAAATCTTTCATTGTCTCTCCTTGAAGCTCATACAGGCTATTGTGGTTGATTCCTCTCATTATCACTAGGGCACCTCAGTTGACCTTTAGAACTCCACCTTCTGAAATATACCAACACTCGGTTGCGATAAATGAGGTTCTTATTCAACTTGGAACATGCCTCATTCCAGTCATTGTCCTTATGATATCGTCTTGCATTCTGATTTTGACATCTCTAACAACCACACATCATACTCTTAGTTGTTTCTCAACTGCACTTTATCAATATCAATACAATGATAAGTAATAAATCAATTCGTGTTTAGCATACTATGACATGAACATATAGAATCCACAACCTATTTGTCAAATGACAAATCCTCAATGACAGATAAGACATAATCAATATCTTTCGAATTACTATCCGCTATTGCAATAATAACATTAGTAGACTCGATTCCAAGTTCCTTACCTTTATTGTTCTTTAGGTTAAGATAATCCCTTCTAAGATGTACCCTCTTGCTGCAGTTCCAATATACAACAACCCATGGCCTACACTAACTACGTCTGTTCATATTCACACTAATCCCACTAACAAGAGTAATAGTTCTACCTTTACCTTCACCTACTAAACCAGGAGGCACAAGTTCATCAAATTCTCTTCTACTAATGTCCTCACTCACTTTTAATCAAAACGCATGATCTCATTAAACTTCAAGCTTCTTGACCCAATGATATTACTAGCAATAGTAACAATAGTATTGCAATTATTAGCTAGTAAGAATAATATAATCAAAGCACACAACTCATCATCAAATTCAATCTCAAATGAACTTAATTGACTAACGACAACATTAAATCCATTGATATGCTCAGCAACCAACGCACCTTCACTTTTCTTTATGTGAAAACAGAAGCATCAAGTAAACTTTATTGATGGTAGAGGGTTACCCGTACATGTTCGACAAAGCATTCATCGGTCTCGTAGCGGTCTTCTTATTTCACGATGTTGTCAATCATATTCTTTATTTTAGATGTGATAGAATAATAACGCTAATCAAGACACATGATTAGACATTGAATTGAACTTAGAGACTGCAATCATAGTGGATTTCATGTTTGAGAAAGTTATCAAAAGGAATCATCACCACCAACCTATGATCATTAATTTAACTTCAAAGAATTCCTTCCGTGAGACAAGTGGCCTCCATGGATTTGTATCATTCTGCAGGGTTGTAAACAAATAGCACTAATCCGAAAAGTAGGTCGGCCCCAAAGGAGTACAATGGTTCTGAGTCATCCGATTAGATTATACATGAAAAGTCGGCCTTCCCTATGATTTTTGCTTGGTTTATTCTAAGAAGGAATTAAAGTTGGTTCCTACCACCGATTCCACATATTCTGGGTTTGGTTTATTTGAAGAAGGAATCAAAGTTAGTTCCAACCACCTATTCCGATCATCTCATCTTCATTTACAAGTTATTTTTACAAGTGTGGCCAATTTGATGGGCTCGACTCTAACGTGTGGTTAGGCAAAGATTACTCCTCTAATATACAAACACACACCACGACAAGCTTTTACTTTGATTAGCCTTTAAGAATCAAGGGTGCGGGGTGCTGTGCTCCTTGTCATTTGCTCCCGTTAAGGACCACAAAGGCATGAGAAGAAGGTGGATGAGATAAAGCGAAGCGCTCGAAGAACAATGATTGAAGATTGCAGCATATTTGTTTACAGAGACAGCAGCATACCGCTACATTGTTTTTTGCAGAATTGGCCGATGCATCGAGCTGTACTAAATAGCCATCGTACTTAGTCCGAAAAGTCGACTACGACAAATGCGTAGTTATTCCCCCCTCCATAAAAAGACCTTCCCTTTTTTTTTTAAGGAAATAGAGCAAACACCACCCATCACCGTAGGACATTTGCTTTTATCCTGGACCGATAAGAATGGCTTTCCAAGTGAGCCAGAATTTGATTAAACTTTGGAGTTGATCGAACTCTAACTTCATGAAGGACTGCAACACACCTTGTCCCTTGGAGTACTTTGCCGAAAAGTCCCCGGAGTCCAATAAGATGGTGTAAACAATAGTTACGGCGTTTTACTAAAACACACAAAAAAGGGGGTATGGGTAGAAAATCTACAAACGTCGCTGGCCTTTCTTTTCTTTTCTGACTACTTTATTCACTTCACTAAGTATAAAGAATGCCCGTGAAGCACCACCCGCCTGGGTGGCGTCGCTGGAGCGGGCGCTCTTCCTCTCGCAAAAGGTTGAGCGTTTGAATCCCGGGCGCCGCAGGGTGACTTAACCAGTAGCACGTGTGTGGTGGCTAGCACGTATCGCCCCTAGGGTTTACCCCGGCTGTCGGCCATGCGGGGGTTCCCTGGGTTACCAAAAAAAAAAAAGAATGCCCGTGAAGCTTTGGCAAAAAATTATTTCTATAGGACCAGAATAACATGATCTTCCTAGACATTCATGAAAGGTGTTTAAGTTGTAAAATTTTCGTGATTGAGGATGGTTTTCACTTTGGAAGATCCCTTAATGAGTTCCCAAGGAAAATGAGATTTTATTTCTCACATCAAACAATGCAAACTGGTTGGATGATAAATGGGCAGAATGTAAAAATTCTGACCAATCAAAAGAACAAATATAGAGAGAACAGTGTGGAATTTATCGATTTAAGCATTCTCCTTGAAGAGAAGAATTCCATGATAGCATCTTCAATGTCATGTCCTATGATGGGCCAAGCTTTTTTGTAGAATAAGCTGTTATACCCATATGGACAGGGAGCTTTGTAATTGTTGAAACCCTTGACGACTCCGCGAATATCTGCTCTTTGAATAAACGATGTATTGATAAGAGCACTAACATCTTCATG